TCACTCTAGTCACCCAATACCGTTATTAGACACCGAAATACAAAATCTCACTGGACGCTAATCGAATACGCTTACTTGTAATATACGTAAAAACAGCAAATATCGATAATTTGGACCTTAAAACACTATACAGAAAGAAACATCGATACATCTACCGCGATCTAAGAGAATGGTGCGAGACGACAACGAGAATCGTGGAGTGGTCGAGCTGTTAACGTCTATAAGGAGGTACAAAGAGTTTAAAAAAATATTAAAATGTTTAAAAATATCGGTATCCTTAAAGTTCTCGATGTCGCTGTTTCTAGAATAGACATCTATCACATTTAAATCTATACTGTGTCTACGAAATGGCTTAACTATAAAATAGATAATCTAAGTCAATAAGCCACCTCTACCGCGTCTAGATCCCTGATATTTCGCGAAATTGGCTCGTGCAGTTCCCAACCGTCACATCGCAATTTCCCAAACACCTACATAGCTCTAGTCCACCTATAAGCTCTATAAATACATATTAAATATGACGTAGATAAGATTTAAAATTCAGTTTGGTGTAGAGTTGTAGTTCTAAAATGTAATAAACCTAGGCTGTAAATAGAAGCAGTCCGCTGATCGTCGCACGAGCATAAGGTACGAAAATTGGACGGCAAAATATTTTGGTGAGAGAATAGTGACAATAATCTGCAGTTCGAATCTACATTCCTTCGAAAGAATACCAGAAAATTTCTTAATAACGATATAAATTTTGATACTGTTTAAGCTAGGAGCTATAAACGAAATCGCGTCGATCGTGGACCGCCGAGTAATCTACAAATACAAACTACCGTCAAATCACATTTAAAAGACAGTGTAAAAATAATGTTTATAAATATTGGCCTATAAGATAATTAGAATTCATTGTACTTTAACTATTAGAAAGCCTATTATTATTATCACACATATCCAATACGATTAGATATCAAACCTCGATTATAATACTAGAATAGCGGCGAATAAGCTTACACGTTTCTAAGTGTTATAAAAGTCGAATGAGTCGGATGTCGAAGTGTAGTATCAATATTGTTTATGCCATTACAAGTATCAAAACGCGTCACAGTATCTCCAATCGATCGCTCCCTACACTAGGAAAGTTCGCATAACAAACACTAAGTATAAACGCTAGATTAACAAAATGACATCAGACTTGTTTTATGTACCGTACGTTTGTATGAGCTATGTATAGACAAAGTTACGTGCCGTATTTTCACTAATAACATGTGCATGTTACAGAATCTAATTCTAAAACCTCAACAAGCCTCCACATGTCAACATTCAGTCGTCAAAAATATTAAGTGATAATAATTACGAGACGTTTACTTTTAGTAAGTTCAAATTTTAATACATTTAAAATCTACATTGAATTTACAATCGTGCTTTGTTATTATAAATACAAACGCGACACTTTAGCTGCAGTTTGACAATATGTAGTTATAAACTAAAATATATAACTGGATAAATGAAATGGTGCGTTACACCGAGTCATCTGTGCTTTACCTTAATATAATTGGCGCTAAGGACGTCTAACCTAGATCTATAGAACTATAAAGGGGCGAACGAATAACTACGGAACTCTGCAAAGAAACGAATAATGATTATTGTCTGACACTGGGTTATTGTCGAGACAGCAGCTCTGGCGATTTCGCCTCACTATTGACTATAGAAATGCCGCGCGGCGGGACTCGTTCGGTCACAAAGCGTTTACGTCTATTATACTGAAACAAGGCTTAACTTGTGGCCGGATAATATGTGCACCACAATCACTTCAAGGGACAGGCCCAAAATAAAAAGCGGGAGGAGGGTAAAAAATAAAAGTAAAATAAAAAGGGGTATTCGGATGTTTATTTACAATTCTCTCATAATAACTAGGCGATTATTAATGAAGAAAAAAAACTTAAGCAACATCAGTGCTATCCCCTGATCACCCACAAATTAATTTTATCGGTTCATAACTCGTGCGACAAGCGCTTACAATCTAACACATTAAAATGTAAAATACCCATTAATATAGCTTTCAGCGAGTACCGTCAGTACATGTTAAAACGTTAACTTAAAACTAGATAATGTAGTTTCACCGGCACGATGCGTGTGCGCACCCGACACAAAATGGCGGACACGAAACTCGGCGCCCTTTGTACGTGTCGGTCAAATACAATTTCAATATTATTGTCAAATTAGACTTGGACGAGCTAATGGTGAAACTATCACTATATAATAACATATAGGGGCGGCCTGTCCTTTTGTGTGCGAGCTCAAATTTATACACGAAAATGAATTTTATTGCAACTACCCAAAAAATTTACATTTCCATTCACTAAATCACAGATGTGTCGCGGACAGTTGTAGACGATAATAATTATGATAGATCGCGTGCCCCGTAATATACATAATGACTAACATAAGCGATAGATTTTATTAAACAAACGAATCTATTAATCAAATAATCATAAACATTCCATTTTATTTAAGGAGTAACCCAAAAGGTCCATTACCGCTAAAACTAAATTAATTGCAGGCGATTATATGCTACTTGATATTAAAAATAGAGGGTAGTTCGATAAACCGTGTCGTGCACTTAACGGAGATCATTGACTAAGCCTCGGGCGAGGACAATCTCTTTATACAATAGATGCAGTAATAATATTACAAACAAAATTAACATAAATTCCAATAATAATAACTAAAACTATACGATAAACCACAAGATGAATTATTCAAACGATGTTTTGTCATTGTTAGATATAAAGAAACGGGTTAAATTGAAAGTTGAGAGAGAATATAATAATCACGATAGAAGACATCTTAAGAGAAATGCTTAAAACTTAGGTGAAACGACATTAATTTGAAGCATCGTAGGGATTAAGCGAACGGCGCGAGATTGTAACTTTAATAAATTTATCGTAAATAGATTAACATTTCTATTTACGTCGCTTGCTTCATACTTGCGATCCTTTAAAAAACCATAAACTCATTACAAAATCATCGAACTTAAATAAATTCAATCCACATGGGACATACTAGATTTGGCATTACATCTATTTTTATATTTTATTTGATTGTCTTCCATTTAATAATACTTAAACTAAAACGAAATAATTAATTGATAAAAAATATCCGTCATGTAGGAAATAAAATTGACAAACGTAGGGGTACTTAATGTAAAATAAACCATTAGGGTAAGTTAATATATAAAATATGGGCCTGTCCTTTAATAAAGCAAAACACCCAGTCGCATCGGACGCGTAAAATATAGCAAATTATTATAAGCGTCATTCTGGGGAAATCATCGAAGTGGGAAATATATTTATGCTTACATCAACAGATCGTAGCTTATACAATAAAATCTTTAAGACAAAGCTTCGACGGTTCAATTAGCTAATTTCATACATTTTTTTTAAATCTTAATATGATAGGCAAATGTCTAAATTTTTTGATACATAATAGATATTCAATTTAAAATTAGACAATATTTAAACGTCAAATTGATAACATGTTAATAATTGATATCTAATTTACGATTAGCCAAAATTTTAAAACTATTATTCAAAGGTCGATGTAGTTGAATGTATTTCCCATATCCTTACCACCAGAAGTATCATAAAATAAAAACATATTAATCAAATTTCTCTACCTAACGAATATACACGATATCTATTAGTATATATTGGCGTCAATCTGATGTACACTGATAGACTATTGACGTCCTGCTCTTACGGCGCGTGACAGCGAGACGGCGATATCTTTCTGCGTTCAGTGTACACCACAATGCAAACCGTTGATAGAACATCTAAAATAACATATTCTGAATCTACCGCTATATATCCATCACCGCTTTCTACTCGTATATCTACAGAATAAAACATTTACGATTATATTAAACACAGCATTATTGACCCCGCTATCTGATATGAAACGTAAAATCTCATACAAGCGTTTCACACTAAAAAATAATACACCGAACAAGTGAAAATTAATTGACGTCATCACACCGTCGGGTCTAAATGTTAATAACACCCCATCAATTTGGTACAAACACTAACACCTACGATAAAACATTAGTAAATGCAACCTACTCGCCTAAAATAAAAGGAAATTTTACAATCATATACAGAAAGTATCGAGGATCGTCGTTCGTCACGTACTCGCATTACACCGACGTACCTCAAAGCGTCTAAACTACTGCACCGATATCGGTGCGATTCGCGATTACAATGTACATCGCCGTAAATAAGTTGATAAATTAATAATAATGATCACATTTCAAATCCAAACCTGCACTCGCAAGGGGAAAATCGCGTCAAAAAGAGAAGAGGAAACGAAGGAACTGTGCAATAACTCGCGCCCGTACACACTAGTCATAAGATTTTGGATTTAAAATACCGCAGTGTGATAAGTTATTCAGTTTCAATTCGATTCGCTCGTCGACGCTTACCGGCGACTATATCCAACCATATGCACGAAACGACGGTAAACGCCGCGAGCGAGTGTGCGCTCACCCTTACATCGCGGGTGTAATCTTAAACTACCCACCATTCGAAAAAACAAAATCGCAATGGTTCTGTCTTTTTCAACGGCAGCCCAATATATAACATCGCGCCATCTCACTTTTAAATTTATATAATACAGTGACAAAGCGAGACGGCGCGTCTATAATGATAATCAGTGGATATACCCACACAGAAAAAAATTCGTTTCGTCATCGCATTTGCATTGATTATGTCAGATTAATATCTATTCTTAGATAAGAGTAAATGACAATATTATAGAGTAATAAATAATTTCAAATCAATATCTGTTATTGAAAAACATATGCTAATTGATAATAATAAGTCAGTTGTAAAAACTAGGCCGTGGTCGGTCACGGCAAACGGGTTGTGATCGAGGCTAAACGAAGTCAATTGTCAAAATAGGTTGGCTATCGCTGATCAGAATGTCAGGATGCCGTATGATCACCGGCGCTGATCAATTCAGTCCGTGTACCAGAGGTGTTGATGCGGATGCTGGTGCACGAGATAAGTTGGAGAGTAGGGCTGTAGGTAGCCAGGAAGACGCGCGCCACTAGCGTGATGGGCGGGCGGCGGACCACCTACTCCACTGACACCGCCACTGAAATTTAAAAAAAAAATTATTATAATTGGTAACTGTGATGATTATGTAAAACTGTTGTATGAGGTGTCCATAAATCGGCTATTGGTATTACAACAATAATAATTACGATACATATTTGATTATCACAGCCATGTCTATTGTTTGAAAATGCTAAATAAAATTGCCTTATCATGACATTTTAGGAGAAATATATACTTCGTAAAATCCATTCAGAAACAGCATGCTTGTTGTAAAAAATTAGTATTCCAATTAAAAACTTCCACTGACGAGATAGATAGTTGATATGTTAAAACTGACTTACGTATGATAGTGATACGTGGGCACGTACAAAGGTGGGGGTAAATACCCTGGAGATACCCCTCCTGTCGGCGACAGCACACCTCCACTGGCGCTCCTATTACACAAAGCAGGTTGTTCTACATATCTCATACTAAATGAACTCATTGTTAAATCAGATTGACTCAAAAACGTTTTGAGAAAATGGTGTTAGCGATAAGCTATAGTAACAATTGCTAAATGGCGAGTGATTTCCAAATAGTGAAGAAATCTGTTCGAAATTGAGTATTGTCGGCTAAATTGCTGTTAAAAATGTCAACGTATTGAGATGGACTTTTCTTTTTTTTAAATATAAATGAACAAACAGGCAAAGAGTTCACTTGATCAAAAGTGAAATGCCCTAGCTATACTCGGAAATCTAAACAGACACTGAAACGCGATTATACTTCACGATTTTTTCATTTGAGGACTATTCATTACGAATTATTGAGTTTCAGCCCATTTCTTATCCAGATTTCCAGACGAAGTCCAACGTGTTTCAAAAATAATTAGAAAAGTGCTGGTCGCAATCTTCAAACCCACGACCTAATGATAGCTAGCTATCATCGCTGCCATAAGATTGAGCCCGCCTAAACCTTTCTTTTAACTTGATAAAAATATAATTACAAGACTAACTTGTAATGTGTGTGTGGATGGTGGTGCCACGCGTGTTTGTGCGCGTTCACGTTCATGTTGCCCGCCATGCTGTTTACTCCGCTCACGGCGTTTACAGCGTTTACTGCGTTCACCGCGCTCACTGTGCCCACGCCAACGCCAACACCGCTCGCGGGAATGTACTCACGACAGCCTCCGCTCTGAAAACGAACCAGTAATTCTGTCAGGATAGTTTAACAAGTGAGACATATAAACCTAGACCAAAAGAAATAAAAGCCATAATAGATAGCAATTACTATCACAATGCTATAACGTACAGAAAAATAAAGCGCTGTAATTATGCAACATATTTTATACTAAAAAAAAACTATTATCTGAGGTTTACACGTGTAGTACACATTTATATAACACTTGTAATGGTTTAAAACGCGTAATATATTAATTTAGTTATTTTAACTAGGCAACGTCGGACCGCAGTTAACTAATATATTTCGCGTTCAATAGGTTGTATTAAAAAGTAGATAGTTTATAAAAAAAAAATTAGGTACCTCAGTATTTGTGAAATCACATATTTGACAAAGACATAATTCGATATGAAATCTTTCTTTATAGGGACCAATATTAATGCACTTACGCTATCCCTCTTGTGTTGCGTCGGCACATACTGATTGCACTGATAGTCGTTCGTTTGTCGCACATTGCCACCGTTCTGAAGGATAAAAGATTTTATTATAATTTTTCTAATTTAATGCAGAAAATGGTTATACATATTAATTTAAAACTCTTTTTTATGTTTAATATCTAGACTTACATTATAATGCTGTTGTTCGTGATGCGGCTCGTGCTTGGCCTGTGCCTCTTGCTGCGCAAGCGCAAGCAACCGCTTCTTTTGGCTCTGTGGCGTTGCTTGCGCACTTGTCGTCTGCCGCTGCTGCTGCTGCTGCGGGTGCACCTGCGGTTGAGCTTGTTGCTGCTGTTGTTGTGGCTGCGCTTGTTGTTGCTATTATTGCGATACGAAAAAAATGTAGACGTTGTCAAATAATCAAATACTATATTGGTTGGCTAAGGAGGTCAGCCATGGACTGGATGGAATCTAGCTCTTACGAGTAAAGTTTAATTAACAACACGAACTGACCACATTGTGTTATTAATTTTTCTGGAGGATTGAGGGTAACAGAAGATCGTTTTAATTATTGAAGGTTTTAGTAGCTAGTAAGGCTGTAGTAGTATGTTTTCCAGTAGTTCATATAACCAATCAACTATAGATATTAACACCAGATGATTTTTAAGAGATAGACATCTCTAGTAGTAGTCTCATTATGATAGTACGTATTGTACCTGTATCGGTTGTTGCTGTTGTTGCTGCTGATGATGGTGATGATGATGGCATGCCTGGTGTTGGTGATGCTGCGGCTCGTGCTTAACGTGCCGCTCGTCTCGCGCGCTGCAAATCACGCCACCCGTGGGGATACTACTACTGCTGCCACTCGCTTGGACGCTGGGGTTCGCACCGCTCGTCGTCGCTTGGACGACAGCTGCGCACTCGCCGCTACCTGCAAGACATTTACAATATTGATCTTGTTTCAATAAAACACTTTAACGGGTTAAAACACAATATTTATTAGTTAAACTTATTTGAAAATTATCTTTTAACCTGACGTTTCGGATGCTTTGCAGCAGCACGGGGAGATTAAAGATGCAGGATGTCTCTGACGTCAAAGCAAAACAAGTTCAACTAATATATATCGCGTTTTAAACCGTTAGTGTTTTATTTAAATATGTACTGCTCGCGTAAACTACAAACAGTATATTAATCTTGATTTAATATAGGTAGAAATTGAAGGGTAGGTAACAATGAAGATTTTAATATGCTAAGTGGTAACGAGTGGTCCTGTTTCGGGACCATTCGTTTTCAGCTTTCAGTTTTACCTCTGTTCTCGTGCGGACGATGGTGGTTTTGCGCCTGCCGCTTGGGCTCGTCGTCGTCCGAGTCAGAGATTGTGATGACGGAGACGGCGGGTGAGGGCGTGTCCCGGATTGTGATCGTGTGTGCACCGCCTGCACCCCCCACGCCGCTAACGCCGCCTGCGCAGCCGTTCGGCTCCCACGGGCCGTTCGTTCGGACGCTATGGTTTGAAATACACACATGTAGTGCATTTATTTGATTTACTAAATATATTTTTATGATAGAGTAGGACAAGACTATATAGATCATAGACTATAGAGATGACTTCTAAGAAAGATGAGCTGCTATTTTAGTTTTGCATATTTTAACAGCAAAACCGTAGGAGGAATACTATATATACTTCTTACTTCTACTTTATTAAATTACATTCTGTCTGAGTTTCCCATGACTTATTTCAGTTCTATAAATTCAGTTTACATTGCAATAACAAAAGTCACGTGGTTATTGTATGCTCACTTAGTATCGTGTTGTTGGTGCCTTCGTGAGGGCGGTGTACCCTCCTTCACTCGTTTCTTAACAGGAGACAGTTGAGTCGGCTCTTTTTTACCGCCACTGCTCGCCATACTGGAAAATATTAATTTTAATATATAAACCTTATCTTTTCAGATATTATGAAAATTTAAAGAAGTGTTAATGTATAATGTTGGATGGATTCACGTTGCAGTAACGTACAGGTAACATAACCAAATCGTAAATAATAATTAAATATACAGAAAAATAATATTATAAAGGGCAACACAAACAGCACAACCTTCAGTTTGTTAACCGACGGTAGATTTAGGACCTTCTTGGAGGGTCTAAGTCCTAAAGAGGGGACGATAAGAAGGATGATTACAGAATATTTAAGTTAAGGACAGTATTATGTTTTCTAGATGTCGCACCTGTATTGATGCGGCTGGTGATGTGGCTGGTAGTGTGCCACGCTCGATTGCTGCTTTGTTGATCTGTTGAGAACGATGTAAGGGTTATTTATATGATTTTTTTTATTTGTTAAGTATCCAGGACTAGTGGATCTTTACTTTTTATTAATTATAATAGATTTTAAACCGCTATCCAACTTAAATTCCTGTTTGATTTTGATAGGAGAGGTTTCCCCGAACATGCTTGTAGTTTTTGCAAATTATTATTGGTTTTAAAAAAGAATGTAAAAGTCTTACTTTAAAGTTAATACGTAAAAACATATGTAAGTCGATAGTATATGTGTTTACGAAGATAGTGCTGTATACAATAATTCGATCAGTTAAGTAATAGTGAAGATATTGTAAGAAACGTTTCGAAGTATTCGTTGACAACACGCACTGAACCAGTGGCTCTTGTCGCTCGCTCGCTCGCAGCGTCTAGAACAAACTACCGTCGTCCGCGTGAATCACGCGCGCTGTGCGTGAACTGCCGGCTGTATCGAGAGGAGCACTTATCACTATGAACTGCTCCTGCTTAAACCTATCTATGGAAACGGAACATAGTAACTCGCAGAATATGGCGACTAATGAAAATAATATTGCCTTTAGCAACAAACGTGACTCCAAGAATATTACGGTTCGCAAGAAAACAACGGAAAAAGAAGCGGTCGAATCCTCGAAGCTAGACTATGCGGCCGAAATACGTAATCTGCGGCAAGAAGTTTCGATGCTAAGAGATCACTTAGAAACGGCTATATCCTTAATACATAGTTGTGAAGTAAAGATAGATGCCTACTCTGATCGTATATTTTCAATTTTTGAAAAAGTAAAACCGGATAACTGTCCTGTACATCCTAAAATTATTACAAAAGAAAATGTGCAACTGCTCTCTAAAAAATCGAAATTAAAAAAATGCGAATAAAAATAAAAAATAACAAGAAAACTACACCTATTCTCTCTTTACACTCACTAGAAAAGGAGAAGGAAAAAAGTAGTAAAAACTCGGTTTCGCCGAATTATAAGCCGGATGAACTGCAACCTGTGCAAAGGAAGAAACATCCTACTACTGTGTGCGGCGCGGCTGGTCCCAGTGTCACCACGCTGAAAGCTGTTCAGCCCCGTCGGTTTCTTCACCTTTGGAATATGGAGTCCAGCGTGGAAGAAGTTAGGGGCTACCTTCAACAACTATGTCCAGGAAGTGTATGTGTGGTCGAAGAACTGAAAGCACGCGGTAACTACAAATCCTATAAGATTGAAGTGCCGGCAATTTGCTTTGATACTTGTTTGTCCGCCGAAGTGTGGCCAATAAACGCTAAAATAAAAATCTGGAAGGCACGTACTACGAAACCTGTTGGAACGTCTCAAACGCGACTCAATCCGCCCTTTCGTGACACAACGACGCCCCTTACATCAAGTCAAGAGTAAGCCGATTGAAGTTTTTTATCAAAATGTTCGAGGGCTGAGGACAAAATTGCAAGACTTCTATATAAGTGTGGTGTCTTCAGAGGCCGATTTATTCGCGATAACAGAAACGGGATGCACGGAGTCCATCGCAGACGCGGAACTTATCCCTACGGGTTATACAGTGATCCGCTGCGATCGCTCCGACGGGCGTAAGCTGGGAGGCGCCTGTCTCGTGGCCACGCCGCACTTGAAACTGCAACGAGTACCGCTACCGGACGAATTGGACATTGCAATGCGATCTTTCGAACTCGTTTGTGCTAATGTTTATTTGAAAAATAGGTTTTTGTTATCAATGTGCGTAGTGTATATACCACCGAATAGTGATACAAATGAATATATGTTATTGTTTAAGTATATCGAGGAACATTGTTGTAAACATAGGTACACTTTAGTTATAGGAGATTTTAATTTGTATTCATGTCCCTTAAATGTATTAGATTATTATAACAATTATTTCTTGAACTATTGTGGATTCACCCAGCGCAATAACGTGTGTAATGTAAATAATCGCAAGTTGGATTTGGTATTAAGCGTTAATGAGTTGCGCGAAATAGAGGTGCGCGCGGCCAACGAGCCGCTGGTGACTGAAGACGCGCATCACCCCCCTCTGCTCGTGTCGCTGCGCCCGCCTGCTCGTCGTACCACGGATAGGTTTACTGACTGTGCGAAACCTACGCACTGTGCTTTTTCGGGTTGGAACTTTAATAAGGCAGATTTTAATGCTTTGTACTCAAAAATATTTGAAGTAGACTGGTCTTTTGTTTACGGTTCTGATCTTAATATGTGCTTAGACTATTTTTATAACGTAATATATTCAATATTTGATGAATGTGTACCCCGAAAAAAACCGAGCAGGGTCCGCTCTGAATATTCGTATCCAGAGTGGTTTAACGCAGATATTATTCATAAAATAAAACGGAAGGCATTACTGCATAAGCAGTACAAAAAGAGCAAGTCTGTAAAAGCATACAAAGAGTTTAGTGATTGTAGGGCGGAAGTAAAAAAAGCAATTAGCTTAGCACTGAATTCTTACCGCGATCGTCTACAGGCTAATTTGATCGATGATCCTAAATCATTCTGGAAGTTCGTGAATAGTAGCAGGAAAGATCGCAAGTCTATAGGTCTCCGAAAAAACGGAGAAGAATTAACAGCAGAGCAAAGCGTAAATGAATTTGCGTCCTTTTTTGAATCCGTGTATAGCCCTAAAAAACCTAAACTCAGTCTTCAAGATGCAATTACAGGTGCTGGTGTTGGAAATGAAGCGGCCAGAATAGAGATACCTCAGCTGAAGTTAAGTGAGGTACGATATGCGCTGCGGCGACTTAAATCTAAAAAATCTATTGGGCCAGATATGGTACCCCCCTTTATAATTAGAGACTGTCGGGAAGTACTGGCGGATCCGCTGTTGCATATTTATAATCTGAGTTTAAAATATGCAACGTTTCCTAATAGATGGAAAATTAGTCGAGTGATTCCCATTCCCAAAAGGTAGGGACGTTGATACTACAGAGGGCTATAGACCTATAGCTATACTATCAGCGCCAGCCAAAGTATTCGAATCAGCAGTTCAGCGAAGCTTTTTGGCACAGGTTACTCCATACCTATCTGAGGCACAACACGGATTTCGACCAGGTCGCAGCACCACGAGCAATCTCCTAAGTTATGTGGCAGATATAGTACCAGAACTTGACAATAGGGGCCAAGTAGATAGTGCATATTTTGACGTAAAAAAAGCTTTTGATTTGGTGGACCACGATGTCCTATTAACAAAATTGGCAAGGGTGGGATTAACACCGCACTTCCTGAGCTTTTTTGTAAGCTATTTGTCCGAAAGGCAGCAATATGTGGAGTATATGGGGCATAGTTCTAAGCCATATATCACTAATTCGGGAGTAGTGCAAGGAAGCAATTTAGGGCCGTTGCAGTTCACGATAATGCTAAATGATTTACCTGCAGTCGTTCACAACGCTAAATGTCTTCTCTTCGCTGACGACATGAAACTATATATGTCTATTAAAACTAATAAAGACTGTGAAGAAATGCAAAGAGATATTGATCGGGTTGTGGCTTGGAGTAAGTGTAATTTTTTGCAATTTAACGCATCAAAATGCAATACGATCACTTTCTCTAGAACTCACAGGCCGATCATGTACGATTATCATGTGGATGGGATACCTCTAATCCGATTAACTGAAGTGAAAGACTTGGGGGTACACTTCAAAAATGATCTAAATTTCCACAGTCATATTAGCAAAATTTGTATGAAAGCCTACAGAAATCTAGGTTTTGTTCTTCGGATGGCCTGGGGATTGTCCAATGTCAAGGCGGTTATTGTTTTATATAATGCCCTAGTCAGAAGCCACCTTGAAGCAAATGCCATTATCTGGGCCCCATATCAGACGAAGTACAATCTCATGTTGGAAAGAGTACAGAATAAATTTACTCGTTACTTATATATGAGACTGTATGGCGTGTATCCTTTTTACCCGCTCATGTATCCCACACTCTTTGTTTTGGGCATGGTGGGATATAATCAGCTCAGTGTTAGAAGGGACCTGGCTTTCGTAACGTACTTGGTCAAAATTTTGGCAGGAAAGGTACATAACGCGGATATCTTGGGACGTCTAACATTATATGTGCCAAATGAATATATAAGCCGTAGAAAGCGTCCGCAATTGCTGGTGGTTCCTCGTGCGCGCACTAACTTGTTAGCTGAGGCGACGTTGACGCGTGCACTTAGGATTCTTAACGCTACAGATCGGGCTATAGATATATTTCACTGCTCCCTGGGTGAATTCATAAAAGTAGCTTCATATATAATATGTAATTATTAATATTTAAATGTATTTGTATTTTTTTTTCTATCGTATTAGGTTTAACCTGTTAAGGTAGGAATTTTTTGTAAATAAATAAATAAATAATAAATAAATAATAAATAAATCGGCTTATTTATTTATCTTTAGTCCCTGTTTGCCGGACCGTTTCGTATGTGTTTAGAGAAAATAACAAAGAGCAATAGTTGTAGTTGTTCTGCTACCCTTTTGTACTTTGTGCGTTTAATCATTTTTCTTTGCACATTTCACTATTCTGCAATTGACACAATAGTAAAATTATTTTATTTATTCGGTGATAATACCTCTTATGCGGATGGTGATGATGATGCAGATCCCATACATCTGGTTCAGGCAATGGTGCGGGCTCGACGATCAACGGCGCGCGCCATTCCACCTCGCCCACGCCACCCACACCGCCCACACCATGCTGGTGGTGGGCGGCAGCAGCTGCAGCAGCCGCAGCAGCCAGCTGTTGCACCTGGAATCATTCAACTTACTGTAGGTATGTATGTAATACAATGGAATAACCTATTCAAACTGTATTTTATGCTCCTCTTGTGCGATATAATTCCAACTTTAACACATATTTGTAACGGTTTAAAATATGTTTTTCTAGTTATATATTATTATAATACTTGTTGTTGAATCTATTTTATACTTATACTGGTTGTGCTTACAATGTCCTGCAGGAAAAGAAACGTAAAGTTTACCTGGTAAGCTGGCTGGCAGAGTATCGAGGAGACAAACTGGTGCGGGAAAGGCTCAGCTCTAGTGGTGTACTGTCGTCCTCCCACAGCCACTCGTCCGGCTCCATATAGCTGGTACTGTGAAGAAAGATGAAAAAAAATCTATATTATTATTATAAAGTTTGCTTGTTTCTTTGATTGAACGTACTAATCTCAGAAAATACTTGTTCTAATTAAAAAAATATTAGTTAAAGCATTCTTCGAAGAAGGCTATAGACTATAGGGTATCAAATACTACTACTAATACGAAGAAAGCGTGGGAAATGTAGAAAAAACGGGAAACACTATTCCTTTGCGTGCGCTGCGCAAACAATAGAAACGAATGATACCCAAAATTGAATTGAAAATGAAGGAATGATTCTTGATTGATGATATAAATTTAAAAAAATTAAAAAGTTTCCCACATGTCTAACCGTAAAGATTAACTTACAAGAACAACGGTACACGACCGACGTCGTAGGTAATTTATAAAGATGAAAGAATTCTAATAGCTACTTAATAATAGCTTACATTATTTAAATAAAACACTTTAACGGTTTAAAACGCGATATATTAGTTAAACTTATTTGAAAATGATTTTTAACTTTTCCCGACGTTTCGGATGCTTTGCAGCAGCCGTGGTCACGGGGAGTCTCCCCGTGACCACGGCTGTTGTGTGTTAACTAATATATCGCGTTTTAAACCGTTAAAGTGTTTTATTTAAATGTGTACTACTCGCGTAAACTATAGACAGTATTTAGCTTACATTATATTAGCAGACTTGTAAGTACAACAGCTACTTACGAGGTTGTCATAAGGCGCAGCTCGTAATCGCTGCTGGTTGATAGTGAGCGCAAGATGGTGGGCTGTTGAGGGCGCGGGTGCCACAACACCGCCAACGTACTCTCCGCCACCCACGCCCACGCCCGCAACACCGCCCACGCCCACGCCAACCCCCCCGACAGCCCCCACTCCCCCCACGGACCCGACCCCGCCGACACCGCTCCCCGAACGGCGGCACACCTGCAGAGGTAATGACGTAAATTATAATATATTCATTCCGTCCTTATACATAAACAAAATTTTAAACGCTCATGTCATGTGATATATATGTACATTGTACAAATATATAATATATTTTGTATAAACTTGTAAATTATTTATGTCGTTCTGTTGTTCATTCTCTTTTACATTACTCACTTTAATTCACATTAATATATATATTTTTATTACCTTATCTCATATATTAAAGAGAAGTACGTTATAATATTTAATAGTTATGTTATTACTTATATTTTTAAACCAAATTTAAGTCCGAATATGTAGTAATTACATATTTTAAACTCTACGCCAAGGTTGAAATTGTTTCTAGCTTGTAATAAAAATTGTATGTAAATAAATGTATCCAGTTCAAAGTGAATTGAACTAACTGACCTCCATCATTTGCACGGATGCCTTCACATTGTTGCAATGCGCGTAGTCGACGAGGTGCGCGAGAGTCACGAACGCGTGGTTCAGTGCTTCGCCGGGAGTTATTCGTCGTTCCTATAGACATATAAACTGTATAATACACAAATCTTACATTTTTTTCGCAGAATTAATGTATGTAAAAAAAGATATATATCTCTAAGTATTGCCTGTATTTTATGCAAATTGTACACACTTAAATGAAAGAGTTAATGGTTTCACGGAATGTTAGTTAAGTTGAAAGGTACGCTAGCGCTATCTATATCCTCGGAGTAGGGATTATTAGAGAGATGAATTATCCTTTCTAAAGATGGCATGTAAAACGAAAAATGCCTTAAGAATCTCATGTTAAAACTTAGTTTTGACATGCGGTGCAAAACCTCTTGCTTTTGAGCAAACAGTAGATTTTCTACTTACTTGATCCATAGTAAGCATTCTCTTGAGTAAGTCGATGAATTCCCTTCTATCTGCTTTCTCAGCCAAGAGTTGGCCGCCTTCCAGATCCGTTGGTACGTTCACCTGGGAACATCCACATACACATACATATCCACAACATTGTCGTAAATTAATTTTTTTTTCATAATTTTTTATATTTGCGTAATAACTTTATTTCAACAAGCGTTACAAGAATATTTTCTTCAAACAAGCAAGTTTATTGTTTGATTCAAATACAGGAACAGCAATTATTGAAAACTAATCTTTAAAATAGAGTTCTATCAGGTGCTACATAACCTTCAAAAATAGTGAAAACGCACATTGTGTCCCCTCACCTGTCCGATGTCGTCGAGACAATTGAAGATGTACTTCCTCGCCTCCTTGCTCTTGATGCCCGTCTCGAGCTCGTGCTCCTCGGGCGTCTTCAGCCGCCAGAACGGGTACGTACTGTCCACGTCGCGATAGAAGAACTTCGCCGTTTTAGATGCGCTGTAATTCGGTTTTTATTAGAGATCGACGAAATCGAAAGACTATAAGCTAGTTTTGTAAATGATTTCTTTAGTAAAGAATTTCTTGAACATAATAAAACTAACCAACACAAATAAATATTGAGGTTACCTAATAATTTAACGACGCTTATGAATAACATTGTGTACTCGTATATAGTATGAAACGTCTAATCCAATGATTAAATTAAACACTTAACGGTTTTAAACGGGAAATATATAAGTTATTTTTATTTACAATTTATTCTTTGCTGCAGCTGTCGTCACGGGACCAGCACTAAAGATGGAGGGTGTACCTAATGTCAAAGTAAAAACTTGTACGCTAGTGCCATCTGTCCCGAGATTAACAAAATAATACTAATCTTAAAATTTGCACACATTTCATTCTTAGTAATTAGGATAGTAATAAATTTCATATTACTATTTCTATACTACAATTAAAACCACGCATCTGTATCGCGTGATAATATGTATAGGAGTTTTACTGACCTATTGAGCATATGCTCCGTCGGTAAGCCCTGAGTCTGCGAGATGTATCTTATCTGGTCGTATTCCGAGGAGCCAGGGTACAGAGGCCAACCCAGGAACAGCTCGGCCACAACGCAACCGAGGGACCACATGTCGATCGCCTCGCAGAACGCCAGACCGAGGATGATTTCTGGTGCTCTGGAAAGAGATATAACCTTTTTAAATTAATTCACTGAGATCTAGTAAGATAAGAATGATGTTTAGATCGGCAAGGAGGATACTAAAGTGTAAATTAATTATAATTTCTGACCTGTAGTATCGACTCTGCAAGTATGTGTTGCAGACCGCCTTGCTGACATGCGACGCGCTGCCAAAGTCGATGACCTTCACGCGATATGGTTGCCGCGCGGGCTCCACCAGCATTATGTTCTCCGGCTTCAAATCCGCGTGGATGAGACCCAATTGCTGAAAATAGAACCGGTTTTAAGTTATTACAGTATATAAAGTTAGCTTAGTTTCAGGCATTTGCCGGCCTGGGCAATATTTTTCCTGTATATTAGATTAGGATCTCTTAAATAGGATACATGGACACCACATATAATTTTCTTTGTTTGGAGCAACGACGAAAACGAAGACGAAGGTTATACCCCAGCCTATAGCATCTAACTACTAAAAAATATATTTTTAGATACCTTAAGCTTGAGGAGCGCCGTGAGCACCTGCTGCAATATCGGCCTGATGTACTTCAAGGGCAGAGGCGAGAACTTGTTCTGCTTGAGGAAGTCGTACAAGTTCTGCTCCAGCATCTCGAACACGAGGCACGTGTGCGAGCGGTGCTGGAAGCACTCGTAGGCGCGGACGAAGTTGAACTCGTCCGCCGACTCCTGAGAGAGGCGGGACAAGATAGACACCTGCAAATAATTATTACTTCTTTTAAATAAAATACTTTATACATGTTAGTTAAAGTTATTAGCAAATTATTTTATGTACGGCCCGACGTGTCGGATGCTTTGCAGCAGCCGTGGTCGTGGGGAGACAATGTAATTATTGCTGTCAGATTGTACATGAATATTGCTATACGTAATTATCAATGAACTATTCTGAAGGTAAGGAAGGATTTAAAATTGGTTCAAGTAAGAATCAGTCGTGATAAGTCTTTTTATTATTCAGTATGATCCGGTATGTTTCCTGTAGTTCTAAAGGTTAACTTGTGACCGTTGCTGACTACAAGTAACCGACTGAATGGAGTTTCAGTTCTATATGCATTATTATTTTATGATTCGATAGTCAGAATTATGTATACAACAAACAAATAATATTATTATATAAATTCGTTTCGAATCAAAATTAAAGGTCAGCTTTATGCATCCCAAGTCTTAAAGTCAAAGTCAAATTAGTCGTAAAAACTTAAAAGCAACTTTTAAAATTGTTCGTGTTTTATTTAAAGCTACCATTTCCAAGTTTGTCGGAGAATGAAACAAGAACCGCGATATTGCGAGCAAAACTCCACGAATAGTTTCATACTTTAACAAAGAATTATGTGTTTCAAGCGAAATTGGGACAGGGACAGCGGAGCAGCAAACTTGTTTACCGTTCTCAATAATAAGCATGATTTGCGTAATACTGCTTTAAGAACACCTATGAGATGTTCAGTGATCGATAATTTTACATATCTTAAATAATACATTTTGAAACGAGAAGAGTTGTTTAGAAAAATATAAAAAGATGGCGCAGTTGGGACTCGTTTTTCGTTGTGCTCAGACCTCCTCGTTGTACCAACTTTTCCATTTCATAGAAAAATATCATCTCTCTTCTTTTTTCCATTCATTTTCTATTTCATCTATTCTATTCTAAACACGAATCTCTCTCGCAACGCAACTATGTAAAGATTTATTTTATATGTTGAAAATATAAAAAAAAATGTGAAATTGAAATCTTATTAAATAACATAGCTGCTATTTATTTAGCATGTATACACAGTCAGGCATTCATTCAAAAATAAATTATGTGCTATGTCTGAAATACAGTTCGAGAAAAACTCCGACGCGAAACTGCAAAAAATAATAAACAGTTATATTTTTCCGCGCTACATTTCCATCAATAAACGCTTTTGAGGAACGATTGATGATTTTATTGCGCCGCTTTCGAATTTGCGCAAAATATTAAATTGGCACTACGCAACTTTCGACCGTGGTTGTACAGGCGTAAGAGCTATTTACCGCTAGCCAATTATCGTGAAAGCATTGTGTGTGTGTGAAAGCGCACTCGGCTCGGTAAACACAAACATTTTGATAGCTGGACGGATGCCAGAGTCAACCGCCAGCTAGATAACACGCACACTGCGAATAGGCGTACCTTCGTCCCAATTTTAGGAATATTCACGCTGTTAGTAACTTTTAAATTAGAGCGACAATTATTCAGGTCGGCGAGTTCTGGGGAATGTTTTTCGAGACAGCAATATGACGTCACTATGGCCATACCGTCTTAGGTGGATATCGTGTTTACAATGAAAGACAAAATGGGCTCTTGTACCAAACAAATCTGTAAGACAAGATAACCCCCAAATTCTTCAACTCGTAAGGTACATCATGTTTATCGTGTCATTAGTCCGACGTGATATAATTCCATTCGGGATGGGCGTTCGACCATTCAATGGATTACAGACAAAAAATTACAATGTGTGTCTTTTTGCATATAAACTAGAACGTCAATTTAACTCGTTCGGTGCATGTTATAGAAACAAACTAAAGAAACGAAAAAATGTTGAGAGTAGAACATTTGCCAACAATTACACATAAATTATGGCATCGATCAAAACGTAACAGTATTCTTTCTCGCGGCCAAAAAGCTTGGCAGCGCCCCACCGTTAGGTAAGTCGGAATAGAAAAACTGTCGGGCAACGCGATTGAATAAAGAAACTGGAGACATTGAGAGATCGTCGCCTTTCTAAGCGACTGTTTTATTTTCTGTGCGACATCTTGCATTTGTCTTGGCTGGCACCCAGTAACCGGCGCGCGATAAATGCTTTCAACTAAAATCTAAAAGCTGCAGTGCTTAACAACCTACTTTAGAAGTGGGATGGTAATGTGTTCTACGTTCTAATGTATATGTTTCTGTATATAGATAACGCGGTTGCAGAGATGTTTGTTTATAAAAAAATTAAATATAAGCGTAGGGGTAAGGGACTTTTAATAGTAGCACGTCATTTATCTTAAACGTAAGTATTGAGTCGAAAAATTGTTTTTCTCACGACGATAAACAATATTGGCTCGTGCAGAGTTTAGCTAGAGGTTCATTTTGGTGATTTATGTAACGAAAAATTATGTACTAAAGGGTTGGCAATTTTTCGTGAAATCGTTCGAGCTTCGATGACGGCTAGACATTATGGACATATACATATCTCCAGGATATTAACGACAAGATAGAATACCTTATGTGTATCAACATAAGGTATTAAGTCTTGTCGTTAATATTGGATTGGGAGAATTAATGTTAACATCGTCGTGGTACTGACCTCAATCTGTCCCTGGCGAGCATAGCTGGGATGGTTTTTTAGGATCTTAATGGCGACTATCTCGTTGGTGCCCTTCTTCCAACACTTCACCACCTGGCCGAACGTACCCCGCCCGAGGAACTCCAACACCTCGTACCTGTAGAAATAGTAGAAAAATAATCACTATAATAATACATGCCTTAATATTTAAGCAATGCAATAGTGTGATTATTGAATTTTATTAAGAAAGTAATTCCAGATTAGACTTTTTTTAAATTATATTATACGTATGTAGTGTAAATAATAAAAAGTAATAAAATCTGTTATGTATATGTAAAAAATACATTATTTCGTTTAGATTTGTGTCCACCTATTCTTATCGTATTACATTATCTTATAGTGAAACATCCTATCGCAAATGTCGTACCCATTAGATAATTCTATGATTGAACATTGAGTTTTTCCTGAAATATATAATATAACATAGGTGTTTCAGAGGCTGTCCACAAAATGCTATGACACGAAATAGGTTCAAAATAATATAATAAAAGTAAATTAAATTACACTTATAACAGAATGATTAATGCAAAAACATTATAATGTTATTCTATCGGATATTGCTCAATACAAATTAATGGTTTATTTAAATTTAACAGCGTTCGTAAGCCGCGGTGAAAATTTAAATAAACCACTCAAATACGGTACTAAATACAATTTTACGAGGCAATAAATTGCATAAATAAATGTCCAGTTAATCTCAACAGGGTTGAGCCGAAATGGAAATTACCAAAACATCTAAAACAAATCAATAATTAGTTTAAAAATACAATACGGCTACTCAGATCTAAAGATTTTTAATAAACTATAGACCGTGCTAGCTGTTTATTGTGACTTAATCCATCAATTTGGCATGGCGGATAAAGCATAATTCTAATGTGATCTTTACCTATTGGACGAGGAGTAGAGCACCTCGTGCTGCACCAGCTGGTAGTCGCCATCGCCACCGCAGCCGGAGCCTGCATGTGCGTCGCCGCATGGAACACACACGAGCGGATACGTTAGTTACGCATTTTAACAACATTCACACACTTATATTAAAAGAGAGACTAATAAATAAGACGCGTTGAAAAGTTTACTTTGCAGTTTACACCAAGATCCAAGCAATAATTCAACACATGTTAAAAATTAATTCTGATTACGCGCTGGAAAGTCTGTTTAATTAAAATAAATGTAGTCCAATGTGTATCTATGAAGGTATTTGAGGTCTATGTCAAAACATGAAATATTACAAGTCTATTAAAAATAAATAAACATGCTAATCATCGCGTACTCATTCCATTAGTAAATGACTACTTGGAGGTGATTAATATTTTTAAGCTACTATAAGCAAATTAACAAAGCGGATTCATTAATTATTAGATTGCGTTAATTAAAAAAAACTATTATAAACATAGTCTATAAAGATTATTACTAATAAGTGATGTGCCAAAAATTCAAACAGACTACGTAAAGGTCCCATTAACCGTTGAAGACAGTTGTTACCTCCTAGATAAGTAGCATGGTTGAAATTTTATGCAATGTAAGAAATAATGTGTGGGCGCATTTCGTGCAATAAATAATATTTCACTATTGTAGATGTTGTTATTCGTGGGACAAAAATAGTCGCATACGAGTTAAAAATATTGCTTCCGAAATAAACATCTCAAGTATTTCGTGGTCGAAATAAATGTGATGCAATGGTTTTTGTGTGGTAGTAGAGATGTGGAAAATATGTTTAATATCATGCTAAATTTCAAAGGACTAAATGTTTGCGCAAACAAATCGAATAAATAGTATCCACCACACCTATGCGTTACTCTTATGGTGAGAACATCTACTATAATATGACCTTACTAGCCATTTAAAATATTTGTCCTGAGTTTAATGTAGTAAAGTTGTATCATAAAAAAAACAAGGGACACGAACATCGAACGAATACAAAGTAATTGGGGAACTTTTACAACAAATCTCTTCATTGTAAAGTTTTCTGTATCCAAGTTTAGAGCTTCCTTGAAGATAAATGGGAAAGGATTTCGCTGCTTTATTAAAACGCGTAGTCTGTATATATCACATAATAGTATACAGTTTTTAGAAATACAAAAATATATATACTTTTTTACAATCTTTTGAGTGGCTAGTAAGGCGTGGCCATTATGGGGAGAGTATAGGAGGTAACAACAATTGGTTGATCATACGTTTGTTACCTTGCGGCTGGGCCGGGTGGTTGGCCCCGGCCGCCGCGAGCTGCTTGCTGTGCGCCGTCGTCGTGCCGCCCTTGTGGCGACCCGTTCCGCTACCCGCCACCGCCACCGCCTCTCGCCGGCTTCTGCTATCTCCCACACTGCAAAGCCAAGTAGAATTATAGAATAAGCAAACAATGTCTTACAAAGCAAAAATATATTCACCCCGAAATCGCTTATTTAGAATCTTAGATGTAACACTATACATACCAAAAATATTTCCACATATAATAGACATAGCTTTTCTTAAAAAATATTCGCTTTTTGGTAGACTAGACATTAAATTATATAACATAAAATAACGGAGACTAAAGATAAGAACGAGAGAAAAGATGGCACCAAACACACACATTAATAGATATAAACATGTATTTAATTCATATTTCCAATGTTTTAATTTCCGTGTATAATTTTAAATTGTATTACTTTCCTCGTTTATTAAAAGCCTTAATTATTCCGTAGTACTAAATTGCAGTGTGTTTTCTTCTAAAACGATTGGTCAATTCTACAATTGCGCAGTTCCAAGCGTATTACAATTCATACGTTAACTTGTTTAGCTTCGCTTTTCGAAGCATGACTATATCAAGGAGAATTGAGCGAGTTTCAAAATCCAATATCACATTACTACGCCATTCGTTTTGGTTTTGTGTTTCGATCAAAGCTAAAAAGATCAATGTCTAGATTAAATACTGTCTATAGTTTACGCGAGTAGTCTAATTTAAATAAAACACTTTAACGGTTTAAAACGGTTCTATAGTTATATATAGATATAACTAATATATCGTTAAAGTGTGTTATTTAAATGTCTAGAATAGAAAAAATACGTAGTTGAAATAATTATCAATACCAATTATAGTAAAATGAATGATCTTCAATCGATATGCAGTCTCTAAGACAACGGATCAAACATGGGACACCAGCCATAAAATCTAAACAAGACGCGCTGTCGAACTATTTTGACTTTGGACATCCACAGCTCCAAACAAATACACAGTAGTAGTCGTTATTATAATACCTGTACCTTATTTGCAATAACAATATAGTAAATTGTTCATACAGATAATCAAATCTTAGTATTATCATCTATCAAATAACAATGTCCGGTTGTTTTCATAATTACGTGTCGTCGTCGTGTATAATATAGTGATATGAGATTGTAATATCCAGATATAGGCACATTCAAACACCTATTATCGTTACACGTTCAAGTCATTGCGATTTTATGAATGTCAATAAATATTATAGTTACAAAATCCCTAATCCGAAAGCAAGGCATTGGTGGTCCTACTGGTTTACTATTAATATGGGTAATTTATTAAAATAAAAAACCCTTTTTTCAAACGCGAAATATATTATATAAGGGGAGGGTCTAAAACTACTTTTAAAATAAATTAAATTAACTGATTTACTTCGCGTTTTAAGCATTGCATTATTTATATGTGTTAAACTCTTGTAAGCCTCAGACAATATTTACGGGTAACCTAACATTAGGCCCTCTGTGCCTAGGATACGAAACCTGGACCTTGTACTACAATGCAAGATAACGTTGCCTAGTCACAATTTCGTTGATAATTGAATCTACTTTCGTGAAATCCAAAAACCGCCCAAAAAATTAAATTAACTTCGGAATTAAAACGCTATCTCACTAAAATATCTTTGTGGGAAACTTCTGGAGCGCTCCAAGTGCCGAACAAAAAGCGAGCTCATCAAAGTTTTTCAACTCATCAGATCGACGTTAGCGTGTACACGAGGGATCCCACTTGATCCCAATTCCCCATCCAATCTCAATGTTGTGAACACGTACTCCCGACTGGCGAAACTTTCGTGTTTTCAGCTCCTCGCTAACGAATTACCCACGCTGAATGGGATAAGGCGAGCTAATTTCATCTAGAAGTGAATCTATTTAGTTTTATGATATAAAGGTTTTTTTTTGGCGTGCCATTGGAGCTAACTAAACTTATGGATTTGTATAGATCTACAAAGGTTTTGGTGTTCCTAGAATAATACTTTGTCTATTTGCTATTTTCGTAAAAGCAGACGTTAAGTTGTAACTCGTTGGCGAAAGCTCTTTATACAATCTTAAAATTACCTAGACTAAAGAAGTTGGTACTTGCCAACTATACCACTCGCGTTAACTACAGGATTACTACACTATACTAAACTATACTTAGGTTATTTTTTTCTTTACATTTCTGAATTCTTAAAAACCAGATAACCTTTTTGGCATGAGGAATCTAGGCAGCATTTAAGTTCCTATATTGTTATTTGAAATCCATTGTTGGTATATTCGTAGATCTAGATTTATTATTCACGTCCACGTTATTTTAATAGACAACCTGGAAGAATTAACTCCCTTTTCCGTTATCTGGAGACACAACCACGTTAAATACACGAATATTGTTTTAAAAGTACAGTTAGTAAACCATTGTAGAGATTATCTAGGCGAACTATCGTAATCTCTTAACAAAGGGGTTTTATGAATTCGGTCTTCAACAATGTAAGCTAGTTTAGTAGTTTTAAAGTCATAATACTTTATTGAAGCCACTGCAGATCTGTGTTCGTCTGTCTACCTGTCGTATCAAACTTACTACCTTACTTAACCTAGTAAAATAATTTATAAGTAATTTTAAAACTTAGATGATATTTACGGGTTACAAACTATGTAGGAAAATTAATCTTTAGAACCAAACAACACTTAAGCACAACTCACAGTTCTTCGAAATCAAACTCCTCGTCATAATAATCCTCCGTTTCGTATTTTATTCTCGGCACAGAGAGATCCATTTTGCACTATATACATTACACTGCACACTATATACACAAATTCACACAACAAAATGCAAAGAAAGCATTATTTTTAAAAATTTGCACGTGAAACGAGAAGTTCGGCGCAAGCGCATCGTAGCCGTTTAGGGTTGAAATGACGCTGTTCACGAGTCGGGGTTGTAAGTGGGGGAGCCAGGTAGCCGGGGGTCTTACACACCCCGAATTCCGTGCATTGTGCGTACAAAATAATAATATAGCAGCGCCGAGTAACGGTGAGAACGTAATTGTTTACTTCTTAAAGTATTTCTGTAATTAATGCCTTCTCGTAATACTAGTATTTCTTTGAATTCATCATAATTTATTAATTACAATAATTTGTTTGAAAGTACTCAAAAGGGTTGAGAAATTGAATGGAACTAGTGCAGTACTGGTGTGTAATTTTTAATAATTGAAGCCATATAACCCTTCAAATATCGAAATAAAGTTTGTCGTATTTATACAGAGTTACGGTATACTCGTATAGAAGATGTTTTCAATAAAAAAAGATCTAGAAAATTTTAGGAAAATGGCAACCTTTGTTAATTCATATTGTATACAATGAGTCAAATGTCATTTCTGGTATACATTATTTCCATATTTCAAAATTTGAAAGTATATTAATGTTTTTAGCTTAGATATAACTTTTTACTTGTATTGATTAAAGCGCCATCTGTAACGCATGAAACGCAACAGGCGACTTCATCATAAGGAATGGTCAATAACATAAAAACGAAACCGCGGGAAGAAATACAACTTTACACAAATAAAGACTAAAACAGAAATTGGTTAACGGTTTTGTTATCGGGCACCCGATAAGCGACTCCTGCGCTATCTACCCCTGTCCATTCATTTCAGTGTCAACGTTAACATGACTACTGACAGTTGCCTGCATTAAGTGGATGTAAATATTATACTCGTGGAAATTCAGTGTTGCAACTCCTTACGATAGTAAGGTTCGCCGATTGGTTATATCAACGCGACGTTCTAAAAATTTTGCTATCTATAAAAAAAGGATATACAATCGAATACATATCAAATCGTGTGAAACATTTTAAAAAATATACAGTTTTTCCATATCATCTTAATTACAAGGACGATTGATATGGACGTTTAACATATAGAGAATGACGTAAATATTGACACAAAATTTGTTTTGCATTACAAAACTAATTAACTTTTTATTATTAAAGATTATAGAAGTTTTTGTGTAAAAGTTCGTAACGCCCCTTTTTTAGTTACTTCTATTTGTAATAACTTTACTAAGGGTACTGTAAAATGCTATTTACTTATATTGCTATTCTATACTCAAGCAATAGTAAACGATAAATTGCATTGTGTTAATAATTACTCATAGGTAAGTCAAATTTACAATACACATATACCGATTTGATTAGAAATATGTAAATAGCGAACATTGTTGCAAACAATTCTATTGTCGATTGACGATTTTCCCATACCAACGTATTGTGGAGGATATTCGCGATCCTTGTGGAAAATTACAGCCGCGCTTACGGAAACCGTTAAAAACTATACAAGATAAAATTTACAGACACACAAGAAAAAAATTACAAACAAAGCGTTAGGCCTCATACGTAACAAATGGTAACACCAACATGACCGTAACGTGATTGCTAAGATTAAAATCATCGATACTAAGCATTAGGAAATAGACAACTCTTCACTCAGTAGTCATAGCGAGAATAGCTAGTTAGTAGCCGGTGATAAGATATTCAATGATTTATGGTACGTGTCGACATTAATGAAATGATAGTTTAAAAGCTTTAAATTAAACCTTGCCATTCGTCTTACAGGATTGACACATGACTAGCGAAAGATTAAAAAAAAACGAGTCAATCTATTTTATGAATACGGACTATATGTATTTCAAATTTGGAAAGCGAGAGAGCTTAGTAACATGATTAAAAACCTCTCAGTATGTTTAAGTAAGAGATAGAAAACGGATTGATGCGGGTTCGAAGCCCGCCTGTTGACCAAATCCTGTAAGAGTATGGCAAGTGCTCGTATCAATGGATCGACTAAGGTGCGTTGTTAGCGACATGGCCTGGTGGTAAACGTTGGACAGAGCCAGTGTCGAACGAACCTCGATGGTATACTGACGTGTTATCGTTGCAACAGGCTCTGTGGCAGTGCGCGGGTGCGGGGGGAGACCGCTCAGCATCGCACGCGCGGCTCGGCTCGCCACCAGGGCACCACCGACTGCCGACTTCACTCCACCACTTTTCCTGAAACGATAACAATGATGTAAGCTACTAAATAGTTAGCGTATCAAAAAATATATTATAATGAACTATAAGAGAAAATACTATTTAATACGCGAAATGACTTACTTAAATTATTTTTACTATGACACGAAATTTTGAAGCAATGTCTTTTCAAAAAAAAATCCATCTGTTTACTGTATTTTGTCCTTTGATTTCAAATTAAGCTATGGGCTCATATATTCACAATATATTATGTTCTATGGATAACGAATAAAATGAAGGCTATTTCAGTTTTACTATAAGAAATTATTATTGATACTATTTACTCCTATTTCGATACAAGAATTGAAGGACGCGCACTGAGCGCACACAATTCAGATTCCACCAAATTCGGGAGAGCACGCATTTTGACTCGCACGACTCCGTCCGTATTTTAAACAGAAAATGCATATTCATTTCCGAGAATTCACGCAAACAACCGATATTCAACGCAGACACTCTATTATTCCGTAAATATATTTTGTAACGGCTGCGCGGAATTAAATTCGTATGAATTTTATATATGGCCGATAGGCCGGATATAACTATTTAATAGTTTTATTTACACGTAAAGGTTCGATCGACAGAAATTTTCCGCCAATATTGAGAGTACGCGGCATAAAAGCAATGTAAAGAACCGCTAACACAATAACCAGCGAATAAATGCACGCCTGTTGTAGTTAACAGAGGACAAAAAACAACATTTTTTACGTAGATACTAAAAAATCATGGTCTAGTCGTGAAAACTATAAGTAGTTACTTTTTATAATAGAGGAGGATAGACAAGGCTGGGGTTAATTTTATGGAAGATGACATACAACCGCCAATTTATAACTAAACGAAATGGGCTGTCGACCAATTTTTGCTTTAAACATACGGAAATCCACAACACTGAAAGATGACTGAAAATGGAATTACACTCACGAGTTTTTTATCGGTGGAAAGTTGTCGGCGATTCATTTTATATCTAACATTTTTAATATTATTTTAAATTGATTTTAGGAACATGTTAGACTTGGTGGGAACCGAACCTGCGATCCATTGATGGGACCGTTGAGATCATATTTCAAATTTCTAAATCTTATTTCACTAAGATCAACTGTTTTTGCTATTTGGTCATAATTAAAAAAAGGAAATAAATAACTGTACTGGCTATTTACTTATAATGAAAATTCTCTTAATGCAAGCTGTTAAATGATTTGTTTTAAATACGTCTAACATCTAAATATAGTTAGTGCCAAGACATCACTTCAAATTATACGAGAAACAACCTTGTTATAGAATAATTAAGAGTTGAAATCGCGCGTTCGCATATGGCCCAATAAATTCCCATGCTGGGTGCCATGACCTTACATGTAGACATAGTCCGGTTCCAAACTAGTCTCCACCATAGACAGAGCGTGCAGCTAACGAGACTTATTTCGAACGAGCAACTTTTTACGGAGTTCGCTAGTTCGCGTATTTTGCTTTTTCCAAAGTTGCCCTTTTAAGTTGGACGTGGGATGTATGTATGATGAATTTGTTGTCGAAAGTGAGTCTGTTGTTTTTACTTAGATAATTATCATAGAAAAGAGCAACTGTATTCATTTCAGCAGTTGTACTAACATCTTATAGGTATTTGAATATTTTAAAGTATAAAGCTTTTAATCTATTCGAGGAAGGGCCAAAACGAAATTATTAAGGAACGCATTGATGTTCTACCATGAAACAAATCTATGTAATTTTTATAGCTTTCTCTAAAATATAGTACAGAAATGAACAGCTACATATAACGTCCGACGACGGTGTACCTCACAAATAACCCATTAATTACCATGTACAGGAGATCGGTGGTTTGATTAATGACTCGGTGGCTACTAGAAAACACCGTTAAATGAAGCCCAGCCTATAACTGGGCCGTGTGAAATTTTGATGTATGAGTTCCTCTTGAAAATAACCCTATGGTATACGCCTACCTCCTAAGCATCATTCATAAGTAGGTATATGATAATTTTTAAAATACAATACTAAAATGATTTATTGTAATTAAAGTCAGTCTGTATAGTGGTTCGAGGAAAACACGAAACAAGGATAAGGGAAGATAATTTAAGATCTATAAATACCTTAAAAAAAATAATAATTCGAAAGAGGTCTAGTGATATTAAGCACTTTATTTAGAATCTTTATGTACTTCCGTATTCAATGAAAATATGGAATGTTCCATTCAAACTAGAGCAGCAACTGCTGCAGTTGTAAATAATGTAAAGCAGAGAGGCCAACGTTGCCTTGAATTCGAATGAAATTTTTATATCCGTTGTACTAGGCATGATAAAACGAAGAGGCTGCAAATATGGAGTTATTCTATATTCTCAAAGCTTTACGAAAAATGTGTGTTTTTCAATTGAAACAATTTGATAAAAAAAAGCTTTTATAAACACTGCAAGGTGAATAAATTTTAAATTAAACATAAATAAAAGAAGGTAGGTATACATAAGAGGTAAAGAAAACAAGTACGTATATTGATAACGCTGTCAGTATAATATGCAAAATTTAAAAACACTTTCATAAAAAATACATCCCAATAACAACATCTAAGCGAATAACACGCAATGTTGTTTACTTAAATGTTAATCGATTAAGATTTAAAACATAAAAAATCTTCGGTTGTTAAGAAATAAAGTATGCTAATGTAAACAACAAGATAATAATATTTAAAGATCTTTACTCGCCACGCAGCTAGGTGTTATTTCAAATTAGTGAGTGACACTAATACCTACTTGTTCTGTTTGAAATCAATGAATGACAAACAAATGCGCGTGAAATATAAAAAAAAAGCGTTTTTGGATGAAAGGTCTATGTCTACCTAAATTTTATCAAAATTGATAAAGCTCTTTCAGCATAAAAAATTGAAGTAAAATAAAAATGTCTTGGAAATTATCATGAAACGAGTATTAAACTCGCGCCATATATTATCGTCCCTATTTCCAATTGATATGGCGTTTTGGAATCTCCCCACAATGATAAACATCGCGAGCAGCTAGTAATAAACGCAGAATAAAATACTATGAGCAATGAATATGAACAGAGCGTGGCAGAAAATTGTAATAGCGCGTTTCAGAATAACCGTACATATTGAGAAGTGCGACATCTGTTTTCATATTTGTGAAACAACGATCTTGAAAAACAAGTTCGCTTATTCCGCGTTTCTTGATAAATAATTAATTATTAGTAATATAACGTGTCTTTAAACTTTTTCCGGTTATCACTTTCAAAAATAATTTAAAAGCATTGCTAGTATGATTTCCTTGCGCTCCTCGCATTGCCTTTTCGTTACAAAAATATGATTATATATAGATTATCAGATTTCTTTTAACTTTTTGTTTTTCATATGCGAACGGATGATGTGCTCTTATGTAAATATCGCAGTAAACGTCTCTTATGTAGTATACTCCATTACACGGTTGATAAAAATTGATTAATAGCCGTGGCCTCGCTTACATCTCGAGTCTGTCGTGTCAAGTGTCCCGTGAAGGCTTCTACAAAGTTCAAAGAGCTGCTGCAGCGTGACCCGACCCCGAAAGTGGTGAAACTTTAATGGGGAAAACTGCTGTATATTAGAGTGAACCCGTTCAAAGAAAATGCTAAAAGCGACTTACATAATTTAGTTTGAATATATCTCTGTAACATTATAGTAGGTATGTAGTTGTTATTCATACTGTTACATAAAAATACGAAACAAGTAATATTTTAAATACTGTCTACAGTTTACGCGAAACCTAGTGTTTTAGTACACAATTAAACTATAACAGTATTTAAACACTTTAACGGGTTAAAACGCGATATATTAGTGAAACTTATTTGAAAATGATTTTTAACTTCGTCTCCCCGTGCTGCCGCAAACCACGGCTGCTGCAAAGCATCCCAAACGTCGGGCCGAAGTTAGAAGTCATTTTCAAATAAGTTTAACTAATAGTTCGCGTTTTAAACCGTTAAAGTGTTCTATTTAAAAGTAATATTTTAAATATTATGCCTACAAAAAACATGGACAGTGACAGTGTTGACTGAACGAATGTAGTTACTTTTAGGCGAATACAATGTCCGTTTTATATCTTTAGTCATTACTAATATTAATAAGCTTAAGAGTTTGTTTGTTTGAATTCTTTTTGTGTTGGTTGGACTATTTATCGAGGAAAGCTATTAGAAGGAGTTAGAGACAGCGTAAAATGTGAAAAAAAAACGGGGAACTTAATTATAGGAGTGCCGGTACTCTGCGAAAATGGTTCAAGATACGATAAGTCTATAATATATGATAGAATAATTCTTCTTTCAATAGTCAAAAAAAATATCCGCGACAATATATGTCTTTCTTTTAAGTGGAACTCACCAGAACCGTTTTTATGGTAAAAAAATTTCGTCGAAATGTTTCATATGGCAAAAGAACGGTTGCTAGGTCAGCTATAGTATAGATATTCAACAACAGCATATATATAGTCGGACGAACGTTGATCTGTATGCATTTAATGATGAAACAATGGAAATACGAACCGGCGAAACCGTGTCGGTACACTGCGACTTTCACGCGAGATCCACGCGTTGTTTTCGACATCGCCCTATTGTTCGCGAAATGAAATCTCTTTATAAATAGTGTTTTAAAAGCACTCGACAATACGCATATTGTCTGCCGTGCGGGCGACCTGCGAACTGCTTTGTATCGTGCTACAGTGGAGATAATAATCGCGGCTCGGTACTGTAATTCGCTTAAGCTGAAATACTATTGAAAAACTGAAAAAAAAAATTAATGTTGTGTTTTACGTAAGCGTTGGTAATAATAGAGTAAAATACAGACACTACCTTATTTTCAATCATTGGTTTTATTAATAAGGCTTTTATTAACTACAGCAATCGTACCGACGCCACCTAAGCTCAAAATCTTTACACTTACATGTAAAATAAATTAAGATGTATCTCGTACGAGTAGTTAAATTTTATGTAGGTATGCATTG